TGTCCACATTGCTGCCAGTGTTCAAAAGTCGGCTCTAGACCTGGTAAGTGATGACACTACTGGACTTATTGCTACAAGCCTGTGCCAGACAGGGGCAGGTCAACTTGCATTCCTGAGAGATATTCTTCGCCAAATCATATCTGACGAACTGATAGTTCAATATGTCTCACCTCCACTTGGGAGGGTTGCTGAGTACAGGCAGGAAGTCCATGATGTGTTTTTGCAAATGCCACCATTGAATTCCTCCAGCAACAAGAGGTCAGCAGTGGTCACAGCAATGAGGAGGTATGTGCTGCAATCCTTGTTCAATGGTGACCTAGAGGATACCACTGGTGTCTATCACTATTGCAGTTTTGGGTGCTGCAGTGGGCTGGAGGAGACAACTGAGAAATTTTTGGGGCAAGGTACTTGGGCACTATTGCCAAGCAAGGCTCCCATCTTTGTTAAAGCAAAATGGTTGCGCCAAGAGGGGAGTTTGGATTGGAGTGGACTGCTTGCAGCTCATCACAACCTCCTAGAAAAAGTACTTGTTCGATTTACCGGCAAACCTGTGGCTGCAACTCCTGCTACTATTCCTGATGCATCTCCAATTGGTTGGGATTTTCTGGGAGAGACTGTGGGCATTGCAAAGTCAATCCAGGACCCTCTTCCAGACAATGCTGGATTTGTACCTGTGGAGGAGCTTGAATCCTTTGACGATTTGTTTGAGACCGATTGGGCAGCGAGGAATAAGCAATACAAACAAAAGTGTGGGTCTTGGGCTTGCTCCAACCCAGGGCCAAGAATTTCTGTTGTCAAGCAGCTGGTGAATGTGACTAGCCATTTGCTTCATTCTTTTCTGGAGAAGTCTGGCAAGGAGTGGCAGCAAAAACAAGCCATGAAAAGCTTCAATGAAGCCCGCACATACCGCATATTGGAAGCTGCTTTGGACAAAGACACTGGCAAATGTTTGAGGGACATTGGGGAGCTGCTGCGGAACCCTCCTAAAGCAGTACCATACTGGGCATGCACTTTGAGGCTTCGGGCACTGTCCTTCAGGGTCTTGTCTCGGGCTGCTTGCGCTGCTCATGTTTTGCTCCGCTGTGTTCGAAGACAACATCCTTACAAACTCTTTAAGAGATTGGTTTCACCTGAGGCTGACCTGGGGCCATCTTGTATGTACGATGAGCTCACCACAGAGTTTGTGCGCCAATATCCTTCTTGGACACCTGCTGCAGCTGCCACACTCCATGCAATGGCTGACCAAATTGAGCTTGACATCGCTAGCTTGGAGAGCAGACATTCAAGCATCAGGAGACTGGTAGAGAGCAGAGGTGTTCACACCTGGATTCCAAATTTTGAGATGATTAGTGGTGAGTTTGTGTGCAGGCAAATAGCAATTAACCAGAAAGAGTTTGGCATCACTTCAGATTCAGCTGAGGAGCCACAAGGCCAACCCTGTGACAAACCTAGAAACAAAAAAACAAACTTGATACTGATATGAATACAGTTCATGACAGAACCAAAGATCGAAGTGGTGGAGGTGGTGCTTGGCGTGCTTTTGTCCACATAAAACACAAAGGTGTGCAAATTACCAAGGAGAGTGCCAAATCTTTGGCAAATGAATACCGTTCTTTGTTGCCTGACGAAAAAGTTTTCTATGAAAATTTGGGGAGCTTGGCGACTGCAGCCCACAGGGCATCATTTCCAGCTTTTGGTGCCAAGAGCAAGGCAATGACAAAACCTTCTGCATTGGAGCCTGGCCACATCTTGCCAGATGGGGTGATTGTTGCAGCAGATGAGGTTCAAAGGATGAACAGGCTGGAGTTGATACCCTTCTCCTCACGAAATTTTTACGAGGACATCCAAACTATCAAAACCCGCTACAGGCAAACATTGCAGGAGCAGAGGAAGGCTGCAAGAGCTGATCTGAGTTCATCGACCTCTTCTTCTGCGGACCTTCTGACCAAGATGGGTGATGTTGTGAGTGGTGTGCCTGCTGCAGGTACATTTGCCTTTGCTTCCCAAGTGTCTTGTGGTGACGCTGCAGCATCCACCTGCTCAAGCATGCCTTTTTATCCACCTTGCTCAGCCATTGCTCAGGCAGGGTGTGCCCCTTGGGTACAAATCATCCAGATTCATGATACATGGGTTGTGTAAGTGAAAACCTGAGCTGAGCTGAGACCTAAGCCTCAAGCCTGTAGACTGTAGACATAAATGTTGTGGCTTCAGGTTCAGTCTGGTGAGGTGAGTGACTAGCGACTAGTAACTAGTAACTAGTAACTAGTAGTAACTAACTTTATTGAATAAATTACTAAATTAAATTACTAAACTAAACTAAACTACTACTACTACTAAACTACTACTACTACTACTACTACTTACTACTACTAATAATGCTGCTAATTGGACTACCTGTACCTACTAGTAACTATTAGTAATTATTAAATATATTATATTATGTCTATGTCTATGTTTGCTTTTTATTTTAGTATATAGTTATACGCTATATACTAAATTACTATATTTTGTATTTTAAAACTCTAGGCTCTAGTCATTAGTCAAGTCAAATGATTAAAATGCATAATTATCAGCAGCTGAATTATGTATTCATATTCTTATTGCATACATAAATAAATATATAAATAGATCAAATAATCAATCAACTCAATAAAATCAATCAACTTTCTTTTAATTTTGTTTTTGATTGGTAAGTAAATAATGAGTAATGAACAATGGTAGACATAAACTAACATTCAGCTACTTAGTTACTAGCTAGTTAGTAACAATAAAAACAATCAATCAATCATTAATTAACTAGAAAAAATAAAGTATGTTGTTGACTTGTAAGAAAATATATAATTACTATTAAAGTTAATACTTACTTAATTACTTACTATTTGGTTGAAACTCAGTACGTCATAAACCAGTTACATATGAAATTGAAACTGTGACCAAACCACTAGTATTAGTATTATGAGGGGTTTCCAATTCTAAGCATAGGTAAACTGAACAATGGCATGACCACATCATGAATCAACAAAGGCTACATTCAATATGCAACATTCAGTTACAAAGTCAAAACACAGTTCTCATTTATCTAATGTCAGGTTGGTCAACAAATGTTGAAGAACCAAACGTTTAATTACAATTTAATCATTTAGGGATGAAGTGTTGTCAAAATCCTTTACTTCTGCAGTATAGTTGAACTGAATCTAACACAATGTATTTGATTATGTTTCATTTTTGGACAGTTGGACAGGGCTTGGTTCATATGTAGACTCCACTAACTTTATGGTTCATCAAAGCAATTTAAAATGATGCAGAATCAAGTTGGTGTGTAAAGTTGAGGTTCAGTGTATGTGTATGGTTCTGGTCAACATGTATGTCAACCATGTATGTCAACAACATAGCTGTTTAGCTGTTCAGCTTTAGCTTTAGTTGTGCCTTGTACCCAGTTAACAGTAAGTAGTTAATTGATGTTTGTTTAAATATTGCAAAGCTACTTAAACAGTTAACAAAATGATATGACACATAACTGGTACACTGTTAGTTGGCCTCAGTACATAGAAAAATCAATGATTAACTAACTGACTAAATGTATATAATATAAATTTAATATAACTATTAGAAAATAGTTAGCAGTTAAATTAGATATTTATTAAACATCATTGTTAACTAGTCATGTCGTTTGTACAAGTTAGTGGGTTGGCTTTACTGCGTACTTTACTGTTTTTTGTTAGTTTGTTAACTGTTAAACTATGTTAAATTGTTAATCAGCTCGGATGATCAAATGTCATTTGTCCTTTTCAGTTGGCCAACATTGTGTGCTTTGTCACCACATGTTGGGCACCATAGGATCCATCCAGCTTTCTCAGTCATCAGGCATCGATGATGTGATCTATACTTTTCAAAACAATGAAATTGGATGTTATCATTGTCATAGTCATAATCATGTAATGATATTACTTATTAATATATAGCAGTGACAGTTATACATATGAGTCCTGCCCACACTTGCCTAACATAGACTCAAACTTTAGTACTGGTATCTAGTAACAATAACTTAGTAACTAGTAAACTAGTACAGTACAATAACTGGCCGAATAACTTCATTGACCGATTACCCGATTACCATAGTTCAATTCATAACCAATTAGTGTGTCTTTAAAAACACTTACTGAATACTGGTTACTGAGTGACAATAGATTATAAAGTCAGGTAATTTCAATTAAAATTTTAAACAAACATAATTAAACAACACAAAAGCTAGTTGTACAGTTATGTCACTACATATATATGTTGTTGTAAAAACAAATACAATTAAATAAATAAATACTGTGTTTTTCTTTTGCTGTGTAATGATGAAGACTGCTAATTGGTACTACCCATGACTAATTGACTAATTGCCATGAACCTTTGGTCAAAGTAAATAAACTACTTCATTGACATGTTGTTCGGTATTCATAAGTATTTCACATGTTTGTTTGATATCAATATGAATGTAACTATTTCAATATTACCTGTTAACTCACTATGTTATAACTACTAAGTTACTAAGTACTACTAAGACTGACTACTGACTACTGTGACTACTGGCTACTACTACTACTACTACTGCTGCTGCTGCTGCTGCTACTACGTTACTAATTACTATTTACTGTTTACTTGTGTTGATTTGAAAGTGACATTTTACAATCACCACAAAACAACATATATATATATGTTTGACTTGGACTTAGACCTAGAAATTTTGATTTGACTTGACTCACTCATCATCTCAACCTAACCATGCACAGGCAGCCCTGAGCCACCAGAACAAGATCTCTACACAAATGTCTTTGCGCACAAAGCTGCAAGAGAGTTGGGAGAAGCGAAGCACAATGATCAAACATGATGACAGCTCAATACATTTTGAAGCGAAGATTCTAAACCAAATGTTCAAGCAAACCACTTGCTCTAGGGCTGGGCTTTGCCATTGTGGCAAACTGCAGGGTGATTGGCGCTGGGCTGCTGTCAAGATGGAAGGGAACTTGGTGAAGATCTTGAAGCATTTCTGCTATTCAAAGAACAAGGGCAAGGACAAGTCTTTTGCAAGGATATGCCTTGAAGCAGGTAGTGCCATTCTTTGCCTCCAAGAGGACCCAGCAGGTCAAAAACAAGTTGACCCTTCAACATTGTTTTTCTTTCATATAGGGTATGTGAACTTCAAGACCTGGACCGTCACAGTCTCACCGCTGTATCTGCAGAGCGATGTGGATTGTGGACAGCCTTTCAGTGTGAGGAAGGTGCTGCTCCAGCACATTTGCCTTGAAGAAAGCAATGCAGACCTCTGGTTCCAAACCCTTCTTGAAGCTTTGAGTGACTTGGACACAGTCAGCCCTTATAGCCTGATGTTCTTCAAGATTGACGAGTCCACCACCTTGCTGCCTTTGAGCAACATGAAGAGCGGTTTAGTGCAAGCTTCAAAAGTGGACACCTTTCCAGTCAGCCTGTTTTGGAGAGGATCAGCTGAGGAGGCTGTGGCTTCTCAACTTCGATCAAGGCCAGTAGCTCCAGCTGCTCACACAAGCAAGAACAGACAGGCAGGACGGGCTCCTGTTCAAGTTGAGCAAGGTCATGGTGATCAGATGGAAGATTTGATGGCGCTCTTGGATACTCCTCCCCCTGGTTCAAACAATGATGATTCTCATGATGGTGAGGAGGCAGAGTTGGACACAAACACTGAAACTGAAGAGGAAGGCAGTGACCAAGATGGTCACGACCATCATGACCCACCAGAGGACGAGAATCCTTTTGATTTTGATGGCAGCAGCTCTCTACTCCCTGTGCAGTTGGAAGAGCCACTGCCAGAGGTTGTTGACAATGAGGTTGACTTTGACCTTGACTGGGAGGATTTTTGTCAAGACTCAGACGGTGCTGCTGCACCAGTTGCGGACGCACCCCCAGAAAGTGAAAATCAACAAATTTTGGAGGAACTTGGACTAGGCTTTGTGAGGAAAGCTGGTGTTTTTGAAGAGCGATTTGATGTGCCTGGGTTTGGCCACTTGCGTTTCAATTCTTCAAACAAATTCCTCAGGGCTCACTGCCAAGAGCCTGGCCATGGCAGCACTTGTTTGCGAAGAAGGACTTGCCTTGAGTCGGACAGGTCCCCTGGTCAAGGAAGGCCAGCTGGGATGTTGCTGGCTTGGCTAGCTTTGGGTGCTGATGTTGCAACCAAGGAAGAGCACATGAAGCTAACACCATCCTTTGAGAAACGTAGTGCTGCACGTCAAGCTTTTGAAGCCACTCCAGGAGCTTCAGCTTTTTCAGAGATGGCTGAAAGGCCTAGAAGGGAGGGAGAACCTGCAGAGCCACGGAGAATTCCTTGAGGTGCCATTCGTGATGATTTGAACATCAGCCCTCACTCATGGTGCTGCGCAGCACTTGAAAAAGAAACAAGAGTGGAGCTGGGATGGTTCGGTAAGACTCTGAAGTGCAGTGTTGAAACTGTGACCAACTAGAGAATAATTTGATTAGATTCGATTAGATAGATTCAATCCTCAAGAAGCATGTAGAGTCAGAGTGACTAGGTGTCCTTGTGATGGATAGATAGCTGGCTGATTGATCCAATCTGTTTACATGCACTGATTGTTGAGAGTAGCCAGTAGCGTAGCAGTAGCGATATGAGGTGAGACACCTCATTGTAGTTTAAGTCTGAGTCTAAGTGTAAGCCTGGGGCGCTGGAGATTTGTAGATCTCAATCAACGCACTATGGTTAGGAAGCTCCTTTGCCACCACTCAGGGCCCAATTTCTAGCCTGTCATATCAATGTAATCAGGTTCCACAAATCACCAACCATATATGCCATATATAAAAGCAAAGCATTCAACTGTTTTGTTCAATACAATACAATGAGTGATTATCCGATGATCATGATGACCATATTTTTTCGAGGGACTGTGGCATGGGGTACTACACAGTCAATGCTTAACTTGAGACAACTGTCACGGTCACTGTAACTATGGGTTTCCCATTAGGTCTTGGCCCCTTTTCCTGCAGGATATTCCTGATCCTGATGAGAAAGGACATCTATGACAAAGCTGACGCAACGCGTGTTTCAACCATCCTGCAGGATGGGTAGTGTGCAGTCAGTTTTGATCTGTTATTGATGTGTTGTTTTCTTGTGTGTGATGTAGAGTCTGTAGAAAATGACTTAGTAACTTAGTATTTTTGTTGTGTTGTTGAACGCATGTGCAGAGACATATGTCACTGCCTATATAATAACTAGTAACTAGCTAGCAGCTAAAACTAAACTGTAACTTACTAAACACGAAACATCACAACCAACTAAACTTGAGCAACTAACTAGACTGACTAGACATCAAAACCAATAAATATAGAGAGCGGATTGCGCTGGGGGGTGGGTTTTTAATTCATAGGTTTTTTAATGATTTCTAGCTTATTGTTTGTTAATGTACAGATGTGAGGCATTTCCAGATGATTGGAAGCAGATGATGCAGTTGCAAGATGTGTTTCTACTTTCTTTTGTCAGAGCCAGCATGACAGTAAAGAAGATGATTTTTGGAAGAATGCATAAGGATACTACCACAGTCAAATCATCTGCTGCAGACAATGCAAGCAAGGAGTTGGCGCTAAGACATCTCATTTTTCCGCGCTAGTTCTGTTCCAAAATCTAGTTCTAGCAAGCATATGCTTTGCTTACCTTAGACACAGCTTTCTTGAACTTGTTCAAGTAGCTGGCCTTGTTTTCAGCCACAGCTTGGTTGTGCAATTTGGAAAAGTACAGCACCTTAAAAGTGTGGCGAATTGCACGTGCCTCATTCAAAATCCGTGCATAATTGCGAAACCTCATCGTCACATCGCCCACAGGACGATCAGACTTCAAAGGCCTGCGTTCGGGACCAATAAGCTTTTGGCCATTGACTTGGACTACTGCTTCGGCAAATGTGAGTTTCCCGTCTTGGTCTCCAAGGTCTCTGTTGAAACCATCCCCTGCACCAAGCTGAAGTGCCATGGTAGGTGACAATGAGCACAAAGAAGACGTCAGGAAGCGGATGAGAGCAAATCAGATTTGAGAGCAAAATCTAGCAGTGGAAGAATCAAATGACATGGAAGTGACATCAACTACTGCAGGGACATGCATGAAAAATACCTTCAATGACAGAAGCCAGCAAATGAAGATCTTTTGTGAAACATTGCTCAGAAGTTGCATATTCAATTCTGACGTTCCAAGGAGATGAGATGTAGAGGTTCAGAATGCAGCAGATAAGAGGATGACCTGTCAGGAGTTCCAGATGCGTTGATAAGTGCATTTCTCCCAAGGAGAAAACAACACTCAAGAAAATAGAGAAGTCTGCAGAGGACCAAAAAAACCAAAAAAACCAATTTTCTGAGACTCCTAGGGAAATA